CGAAGTCATCAATTGATATTATTGTGAAAAAATAAAGATTGAAATTTTACTAGGCTAGGTGCGCCATCAAGAAATTTTTATCTGGCACAAATCTCAATGAACTTTTAATAATAGAATTACAATAAGTAGTGAAATTCTAGAGTTTGTTCGTGAAAGAAGACCCGGCGAGCAACCACAAATCTCTATAGCTACGAGCTAGTGTCGACCACCGACCTTCATAGTCGTCGGTTTCCATCGACCACCACTGATTGTCACCACTTGTCGCAGTCAACCACTAGTTGTCATTGATCACTACTTGCAACCGTTTGTAGTCAGACTACAACTATTATTGAATTTCCAAACTCTTGTATTGTTTATCTACATAATGACAAGTGTAGTTTTCAATTTAAAAATAGAACCACATTCTCCTTATCGTGAAAGAAGAGCGTATATTTGTACTTACAAACACATAGTGAATTACTATAGCTTGCAAGATGTGTGCCTAACATAATTTATTGAATTAAGGATGGTTGGCTTGCAAGAGGCCTAGTCTGAAAGAAAAGTAATTATAAAAAAATTTAACAAAATCATTTACATTGACTTGAAAATTCGTTTAAAAAGTTATTTTAATAAAGACCATTTTGGTCTCATTCGCTTTTAATCACCTTTTTTTTTTTTCAAGACCGAGTTCTGCATATTTAGCATATTTATCTTTTAATGAAAGGGTAGAATTGCCAGTTCATTATTATTTAAAATTCATTGGGTGAGATGAGATTCAACTGCATCTTACAATAAATATTACAATATTTTGCATTGAACTGTAAAATTGTAAGTTTGAATCACATAAAGGGCAGACTAACCCAAAAGTACTCAAAAATCATCAAATTAAAGATTTTTGTTTACTTATTATCACCTTCTAATCATCTTACTATTATATTGATTGTTTGTGATTATATATGTTCCACTCTCTTAGTTCTATCACTTTAATCTCTATGTTATGAAATTGTATTATCCTATACATATGTTAAGAACCTTTATTTTCTGAATCTAAATTCCATCAGGAGCCTACTAACCACCCTAAACAAGAGCCGACGGAAGCCATTTTAGCCTATCGATCGAGTGACAGCTATGTGATAGGCTCAAACATGTAAAAAGACTGAATTACCATGTACTACATACCCTACAAAGCAGGGGTGAAACATACAATTTTACCTACTATTCTCTTTCCTCTTATAAATATGATGACCATATCATATTATATGAGTTTTTTTCCCCTTGGTTTGAACGCTGACAAATTTGGATTCAACATCACTTAATTCTTATATAATAATTAGCCAATAATACCTTGTCATTGTGAAAAATGTTTTAAAAATTCTATTTTTGAATAAGCTAATATTTTTTAATTGAGTTTTAATAACAACTAAGTTAAAAAAATAATTATTAGAATATGCTTTAAATACGAGTCCCACAAGCTGTGCACATATTCTGACAAATCGTAAATGTCTCCCTCCAACAAAGAAAATTACATTCAAAGCACATCTTAATCATTTATTTATAATTTCATTATCATTAGGGCTCAACTTATTCTTAAAATAAACTCTGTCAAATTAGAATGGGGTTTGGATTAGTTATATCTGCTTTAAGATTAATGCAATACAGCAATTAAGACATAAAATATATTATTGTCATCTTAATATTGCTTCTTTTATAATGATTAATTAAAAACTGTAATATTTTAAGAAAACGACTTGACTATATATATATATATATATACAATTTTTTTTAACATGCAATTTTTTTTGCAAGTATAAATTAATATTTATGTATCTATATATGTATGTATGTATAATATGTATGTATATATAATATGTATCTACATACAATTTTTTTAAAAAAATTAATATATAAAAATAATGATGGCAAATTATACACACATACAATATATATATATATATATATA